GTGTGAATATCTGTGTGTTGTTTGCTTGTATACACACAGAGACACCCCCCCCCCTCCATACAGTGACCCCTCACTGTATTTTATGAATTCCTAATCAACAGACTTGGATGCAACAGAGAAAAAAATTAGTTTGGATTTCAAGTAATGGACAAAGCCTGCTGGCTTCAAAACAGTCCAGTGAATTGATATGATTTACATCATTGGCATCAATGTATGTCATTATGCAAATGACATTAACATCTATTTGGATTTAACAGGCATTTGGTTTTAACTGACATCCTGTCTGTTGCCAAGAAAACTGTTTGGACTTGTCCATGTAGTCATGAGGAGTTAAGACTAACTGAAGACTAACCCTATATGCACACGCACACACAAAGACAAAACCTAATAAATACATTTTTAAAAGCTCACCAAAGCTAAAGCTAAACAAGCTTAGAGCATGTTGAATGAATGCAGCTGCTAATCTATACCTGACCTGGTTAAACCAGCTGTGAAAATAGTGCCCCCCCCCCAGCCCCCAGCCTACATTCCCAGAATACATATTGCTTTATATACAAAGATATGAGCCAATAATTGAATTATTCCATTTGCATCATGCAAATCATGTTGATCGGACGCCCCATTTGCATAAACACACCAGGTCGCCAAAATAAAACAAAAAGGGTTTGTTTCAGCTGACAAAGGAAATCATCCATGAGTCAGCTGTTTTCATTCACTTTCATTCTTGTCTCTGAAAAATAGCAATGCTAATAAAACCCACTCAGTCCTCCATGAAATTTCATAGTGCAAAGAATCTTGGCTGGTTCTGGTACCTTTTTCCTTCCAGCTTGTCCCTAAGTCTGGAGCAGAGTCAGAGAAAGGCGAAGGTCTGTGCTGAGAAGAAGCCAAGGGGAAGCCAAGTGTGATTAATTAATTGGATGTGATGCATCTTCACTGCCAATGCTGTTGAGACCCATATCCAGTGCCCCACGATGGTGCCAATCCTTCTGCCTTTGGCTTCATCTCTGCACAGAATCTTCTGCCAAATAGTCTGCAATGGGCCCAATCATCCAAGTTGACTATTTACACACCTCCTACTATAGTCTTTGATCTCAAACAGATGTGAAGTGTGACTTTTTATTACAGTCCAAGCATGGCTGCCAAGGGGATACCAGCTGTGGCCATCTTGGCCATGCTCTGATTTGTTCATCATTTCCTATCCCTCTACAACCACTGTAGCTATTTTCTATTAGACTCTAAAACAGTAGGAAGGGATTATTTAATTCAGTTTGTAATCCCTGCACCGTATCAACTAAATTTAAGAAATCTGTAAGCAAATAATCAGAAGTAAAATTCTAAAGGAGGAGGAGGAGGAGGAATAATTAACCACTCTTGTGATTGCTGCTGAAATGAGGCCATATAAGAAATAAGAAACAGAATTGACCCTAGAATTCAGCAGGGAGCATTTTGTCTATTGATGGACGCATCTGCTGAAAGGAAACAGATCAGAAGTTGTCTGCTGGCAGTGGTGGGGCCAAATCTGGTGTTTAGTAGAGCCAGTGTCAAAAATTGTCAGATTCTCCCCTCCCAATGGACTGTTAGAAGATGATCAAATCACTGTAGACCAGAGTCCAAACTGATCACCAGCAGAGGAGCCAATGGCAGGAAATTAGGTCAAGAGTCATTACCACTTCTGGTCTAGACATCTCAAAGTAGATTATCTCTGCCAATTTTGCTATTCTGCCCTAGATTATCTCAGCCTAGCCAGAGTTAGAAGAAGTAGAAAGTAGCTGTATTCATTTTGCAACTCGCCTTTAAAACAACATTTCCAAAGAAGTATACAAGGCGATGCTATTAAAATAAAGTGATGAATAAACATATGCAGATTAAACACAACACTTGGGACTGTAATTATTTTTAGTTATTTTTAAATTTAAAAACAGTTACTTGGTTGGAAGAAGAAGTCCAGCATTGTTGATCACTTAGACTAGATAAATATCTTTTGAAAAAACATATCATTGTTTGGCCTGCATTCTGAAAAAGCATTTTTGGCCACAAAAATTTGCTACTGAAGTACTCTGTAAGACGGCCATCGAGATTTGTAGGGAGAAGACCATTTACATTATGGAAAAAAAATTAGGTTGTTGGCCCAATTCCCAACATTTTTATTAAACTTGTTACAGAGAATAAGAGAAGGAAGTTCTCTAAATGTAACTTTCTCCTGGAGATGGTGCAGGTCATACTGAGGGCTAATCACATTTTACTATGCTAAAAAAAACAAAAAAACTAATAGGCCCCTCTGCCTATTTACTTAATTGATTCTAAAGCGCATGCTAAAGGAAACCGTGAACCACATTTTTGGTGAGATCCTCAAACAAATCATTTGAGGGTTTGGGGTTTTTTTTTAAAAAAAATCATTGAAATAATATTTAGCTCTACACAAATATTTTCAGAATCCCCCTTCTCAATATTCATTGAGTTTCACAGAACTAAATTTGAAGTTAGACCAGGAGTTGCTCCATGGGCAAAATATGTAAAAACATTTGAGGGACAGATTGGAAAAATACCCAAGGAACAGGAAACACACTCATGGCATTGTTGCTTACAAGATCTTCACTTCTTTGGGCAGACCTTTGCTTACAGGAGGTAAGATTTCATGTACAGGAATATCTAAAGGGCAAATAAAAACATAGAAAATCCATTAAAAGGTAGTCGTTTGCATGTTGTCTTCTTAACGCAAATGGTTTGTGTTATGTGTTGTGCCCTCTCCTATAATGGCCTTATTGTTATTGTTGCTTCATTCCTTTGGCCTACCATCTTGGGATTTTCACCCCAAGCTTCTCTTGCATAATGGCTCTGTCTTTCTAGGGATAAGCTCGGGAGCAACTTCCAAGGCTTAAAATTTTAAAAAAGGCTGTGGGGAATCCCACAGCCCACACTGGAAGTGTCCAGCTCAAAGTGGGCTCCAACATGGGCTGGTGGCTGAGGGATCCTGTAGTTTGTATTAGAAGTGGTCAGCTCAAAACCCCACTCCCATCCCCTTTGTGGAAACCCAGTGCATCCAGACTAGGTGGCTTCAAGATTTCCTACAGGATTGATGAGATTTCCCACACAGAGGTGGCCAGTATGAAGCCCACACCAGGAGCCTCCCAAGTAGGAGGGCTGCAGAACAGGCCACAGAACATCCCACAATCTGTACACAGCAAACATGGTGGCAACAAGAGAGAAGTGATTTGCCATTGCTGCCTCCTGAGATATTTTTTTCAATTTCCTAGGCTAGCCTTCCACCCATGTCCTTGCCAAGCCTGACACTGCGTAGCTTCTGAGCCCATAAATTGGACCAGTTGTTGTCACCTGCCTAGCCACGCACATGTTATTTATTCAGTCTACCTTCTTCAAGGTGACAAACACCCATAATTCTAATACAACATCCCAGCAGAAGTACAGCAATATTTTCACCACAGCTTCTCTTGAACTGTGACTCTGCTCCAACTCTGTCCTAGCACATCTAAGCCAAGGACCTCCTGGAGGTTGTGCCCCCATTTTCTTCTTCTGCATCCCCACCAGAACTGCAGTCAGGAGGCCTTCAAATGGATTCTAGAATCCCATTCAGGATCCTTGTGATCTAAAGTTTCCGAAGAACCTGTGCTTCAGAAGACCACGGAATGAAATTTGCCAAATACAGAATTTCTTAGTTTGGAACCCTAGATCACATCTCCAAAATCTGGTGCTGGGATTTGAGGAATATAGTGAGTAAAAGCATATTTGGGGCAGGGGGCTGCTTTTTAGGCAGGGCTGCTGAAATTAGGTGTGGAAATATGCCCCACACAAGGGTGCCCCATGAAGGGGGGCACCAGCTGGAAGTATAAAAAAATTCAAAAGCTACGCAGCGTGGTTATATAGAAAGAGGCTGTCCAAGAAACAGGAGACACATTATTTTGAATGTTTTAGAGAAATGTTTTTTTTGTTGTTTTTTTTTGCGGGGTGCTAAGTAGAGTTCTGCACAAGGGTGCCTTGTATACCAGCACCAGCCTGTTTTAAGATCTCTGTAAAGCTGCTGGTTTTTATTATTTGATTTATATCGTACAGTTTGGTGCATTCTCTAGGGAACAATGACTGCTGGGCAGCTTGGAGGTGTGATAAAAAATAAATAGCGAGTTTATGGCAGGTGCAGCATTTCAACCAAGGACTTGTTGATTCAAAATCCAGTCTCTTCTTCCTGACACTAAACAGTGTGATCACCCAGACGGTGAGTCTGTAAAATTAATCCACCGAGTCTCTAAAACTGTATCCATTCTCGAAAGGAGATGGGAAGCTTCAGACTTGTTATCTTTCTGTGTGTATTTGTGTGTGTGTGTGCACACACATGCATGCACACAACTCTCTCTCTTCACATGCACACATGCACAAACATATATACATAGGTGACACTTTAGGGAACCCATTTATCTCAACCTATGCCCATACTAGCATATAAAGCAATTTATGTATTTATTATTATTTATAACAATTCAGGTTTGGGGACCTCGTGTACTGCTGTAAGCAGTGGGGGACCTAAACTAAATATATGGGCCGTCTTTAGAGAATTGATTATATAATTTGATTCTATATGTCCAGTTTGGAAACCGGATGGTTCTCTTTTATGCTTCCTTGTTCATCCTATGGAACGAGGAGGAAAGATTGTTGACCTGTTAAACCACATTAGTGCAATTCCCATCTGGAGAGTGCAGGCACCTAAAGAATGTGGCAGGCATAAAGAGCAAGAAGGGGGGAGCCGAGGGAAAGACACAGCAGCCGTGTGCTGAGTGAAGATGCATTCGCCCTGAGAAGATGCTGCTTGCTGTTTTCTGGCCCTCGTCTCAGTGCTAGGGCTGCTTAAGACTGCTCTCCCCCCGCCCCACCTTGCACAGACACGGAGAGGCTGGTCTGCAGGCTCCTCCTCTCCCTCACATTAAAACGAGTCAAGTTTCCTCTTTGGGTGCATAGTGGGAGTTTTTTTGCTTCACTCTGCCTGGCAGGAAGGTGCCAGTTGCATCTCCCACACCGTCTCGTGCTTGAAAGCAAGCTTCCTTCAGGCGTGGGTACCAAAAGGAGCCACAGCATCTCTGCTGGGGTGCAGCACTCAAGAGCCAAGCCATGCATCTCAACACAACTTCTTCACTGCCCCATCTGGGATATGTTATGGGTCAGTTTCATCTACCATCCACCAATTCTGTCTTGCCTACAGCTGAGAATCTCTCCAACAGTTCAGAACTTGGGTCCTGGCTACATGATGAGGATCTTGATGTGAACACAGACATCTACTCCAAGGTCATGGTCACCATCATCTACCTGGTACTCTTCCTGCTGGGGACCATTGGCAACTCCATCACTGCTTACACCCTAGTGAGGAAGAAGTCCCTGCAGAATCTCCAAAGCACCGTGCACTATCACCTGGCCAGCTTGGCGTTCTCCGATTTGCTCATCTTCCTCCTCTGCATGCCCATCGAACTCTACAACTTCATCTGGGTGCATCACCCCTGGGCTTTTGGCAACAATATCTGCAAGAGCTATTACTTTCTGAGGGATGCTTGTACTTATGCTACAGCTCTCAACATCGCCAGCCTCAGCATTGAAAGGTACATGGCCATCTGCCACCCTTTCAAAGCCAAGAGCATCATGTCCAGAAGCCGGACCAAAAAATTCATCAGCTGCATTTGGGTCGCCTCCTTTTTGCTAGCCATCCCAATGATCTTAATCATGGGAGAGATCTACAAGATACCCCAAGATCCCACCTCACTGATCTGTACCCAGATTGTGGAAGATTCCACCCTTAAGATTGCCATCCAGGTGAGTTTTTTTGCCTGCTTTGTTTTATCTTAGTGTGAGTAGCTTGTCTGAGTCATGCCGGGCTCTAGGTATAGTTAATGCCTACAGTTCAGAGATCAGTTAATGGCTTTAAAAAAGAGAGAGAATACAAGCAGACAGTCATTTTTCTATAAATCCGTAAGCTTTCCCTTTGCCAGGGCAGATGGCAGCAAATCTCTTAAACACACGTAGTGCCCTATGTTGTTTGACAGTTTGGAAACCGTGTGTGTAGCTGCTCCTCAAAGACTCCAGCCAGCTCACTAAACTTTGCAAAGCAACCCTCTTCCATTCGTGTAAAGACTGTTTCACACTATGCATTCTTTGGGGGAACATGGGGGAGTGGGTGGGTGCGGGGGGGAGAATGAAAGGTATCTGCCCAGCAAACACATATTTCCAAATGGGTCAGTCATACGGGTGCAGGAGCAAAATACCAACTCTGGGTCTGACTGTCGTTCGGTGTGTACAGAGTTTGCAAAACCAGCTTTCTTGCTTTGTGGTGTAAGAAATAGGATGGAAGCAGGGCTGAACATTAGCTGCTTTGGTAAAATCAAAGCCAAACTGTGCAAACAGCCTACATTGCACAAACCAACCAATTTGCATGATTTCTCTTATTTCGTATCACTCATTCTGCGAACTTTTACTTTGCCATATCATTTTGTCCACCTCTGATCCTTAAAAAAGCAGAAATTAGAAGGACAGGGAAACCTGGTTTTCTCCAACAACTGGAAACCTTCTACAGGAAGGATTGCGGATTTTTCCCAATAATGTGAGATAGAAGAGAAAGAAAGAAAGAAAGAAAGAAAGAAAGAAAGAAAGAAAGAAAGAAAGAAAGAAAGAAAGAAAGAAAGAAAGAAAGAAAGCCGTGATTCACAAGAATTGACTGCTGACCCCAGCGCAAAGCAATCAGGCACATGTTTCCACTATTCATAAAACCAAGTCCACAGCGATGGGGTCCAAAAGATTTCAAAATATTTGCTGCTCCAAATTTAGAATCGCACATTGCAGTTGCTTTTTGAAAAAACCTAAAGAGGATGAAGGAATTTTCATCGCTAGTGCAGTATAGAGAAATCTAGGCATTTTGCTTTATAGCCCTCTTGGCATTTAATTCTTAAGTTTAAGAACCAGGAAGTGTTTCAACCAAACATCCATCAAATAATTTGGAAGACAGATTCCTCCCCTGAAATTTGTTTCACTAGTCCACTTTTTGCTAATTCTTCAGTGTGTTTACTCATGCAAGAATCCAGTTGAACACACAATAAGTCATGCATGGAATTACATTGTTATTCTCCAATTTCCCTTTTCTTCCTTGCATCCCCAAATATAGCATTTTCTGGAGGTTGCAAGACCCCCTTATTTCACCCTCCTCCCTAGAAAAGCTGCTAAATAGAAAGCAATTGCTTCAGCATGAGTGCAATGGTTTGGAAGTGATGCTGGACAACAGGTATCTATTTATTTATTGTAAAATATTTACAAACCTCCCCAATCAATAAAGGCTCTGGTGGGGGACGTCAAAGCCAAAAGGAATGCCTTGTAATAACAGAAATTAAAATAATTAACAATACTACAATCACGTAGCCACCCACAAATGCCATGAGCCAAAGGCTTGCCGAGATAAAGTGGTTTTAAGGGTCTGCTGGAAAGTAGGCAGTGTTAGAGGCAGGTCTACTTCAAAGATTGGGGGGCCTCTGTCAAGAAGGCATACCTTAAGAGAGGACTCTTAGCAGACCTGCTTATGACGGACCGGCAGAATTATATTTGGTAAGGTAGACTCTGATATATCCTGGTGCCATACTGCATAGAGCTTTATAGGTGAGCATTTTGAACCTAGCCTGGAAGGCAACCTGGACCTCAAAAATTGTTATTCAACAAAAACAGGTTATCACAACTAATAATCAGATTGTTGCATTTTGCACCAGCTGTAGGTTGTCAGCATTCTGCTAAAGCAGCCCCTTTTAGAGCTGGTAGCAAGAGCCGAAATGGGAGGCAATCAGGATATGAGTCACCATTGCAGGAAAGATTGTAGGGTGGTGATTGGTACACTAGCCACAGCTTAGCTATTGTTTTCACCTGTTGCTCTAGCAGGACCTGTGAGTCCAGAAGGATCCCAAATCACAGACCAGTTCTTTCAGCAGAAGTATGACCCTGAAAGGGCTGGGGTCAATGTTACTGAAAAGCCAAGTTTTCAATAAGGAACTCTACCTTGGTATGGTTTAATCTAAGCTAGCCTCCAAACACCAGTTCAAGATCTTCAAAGCCCAAAGTTCAAGACCTCCCCCACATTGCCACCTGTATAAGTGGGTATTATTGTAGAGAGAGCATGTAGACTTTCAATGCTCTAACTAGAGGGTCCAACCCCATTTAAGAGTTAGCAGAAGAGTGCTAGAAATCAAAGCTCTTACGGAAATTACAGATGAACTTTCATTCCATTCACATTTGAATGTGATACAACCTACTTGTGCATTTACAGATTGAAACGTAAGCAACTTAAAGCTGCAGTGCAATTCACCAATTAGATACAGATATTACACACATAGGATGAGAAGCACCCTGGAAGCCAAGCCCTGATGGTCAAGGATCTGGGTCTGTTTAGTTTGTAAAACAGAAGATTGAGGGGAGTTATGATACTGATCTACACATATCTAAAAGCCTGTCACATGCAAACTAAGGGTAGAGGAAGGACCAAAGGTTTGAAATTGAAGAAAGGAGATTTTGGCTGAATATTAGGAAGAGTGTTCTGACTGTAAGAGGTGTTAAGTAATGGAACAGTCTGTCTAAAAGTGTGATGGATTTCCCTCATTGGAGATTCTCAAATTGGGTTGGAGGACCACCTGTCAGGAATGGTTTAGTGCACTGAGCAGCAAAGGGCTCAAAGCCCTTAAGGTCCCTTCCAACTCATATATTCTACAGTTAGGGAAAAATATGCATAGAAATTGCACACCTTTTTTCTAGAAATATATGAAACTGGATCCTATCAGGAAAAATTGCTTGCAAAAATAGTGAGGATTCAGCAAAATTAGAAGCAAAAATAGGCATGTTTGAATACAGACAGACAAAATGTAATCCACACTTCAAAGAAAGATAATTCCAGATACAAGTTTTGAAAAAATGGATAGTCTCACCCATCCCTAAGGAAAATTGGAGAGGGATGAATGCTGGGATCAGTTTTCTACCATCTCATAACAAAAACTGGCCATCATAGAGGACAGCTTTCTTATCCAGGAACATAGAAAGTGGCCTTTTATAAAACCAGACCATTGGTAGAAATAATTCAGTACTGACTGAGTTGCAGGAACCAGGAGTTTTTCAAACAGAGATAATTCATAGCATTCCCTGGGGACACAGTCTCTGTTCAAAGCATAGATTCACCTTCCCCGCTATAGGAACAGTTGTCTTCTTAAATGATGGGGATTTAAGGAAGGTTGGGGTTAGAACCCATCCAAGCCATCTTTCCAAATCCAAGATCAGCAATGGTGGATGTATGTATTTATTTATTTATCCCATTTATAGGATGCCCACTTAGATGTCTTGGGGCTGCGTACAACTGGAAACATACAGTACAACAATCGGAACCATAATTACCCAACAGAGAGACAGCAAACATAATAACAGCAAAACCACCCCCACAATAGGCCCACATCACACCTGAGGAAAGAGCCAGATTTTAAGGCTCATCTAAAAGAGAGGAGGGTTGGGGCTGTTCAGATTTCTGGAAGATGCTATTCCATAGGGCATTGCTAGAAGGCATGCGTCTTGGGTCATATAGATAGCGTTGCTTAATAGATGGGACCTGAAGCTTGTTGGATCCCATCTGGGGTAGGACCCTAACACCTGGACACATTTCAAAAGCCCTTTGAAAACCATCTCTTCAATACTTAGCTTGTTAGGAGAAACAAGAGGGAAAGATGAAAGAGAGTAGTGAACACGGAAGAGAGAAGAAGGGTCTGGCTTCAGCCCTGCTTACCTCTCTGCACTTAGTTTTTATTGATGTAATATCTCTGAGGGGTTGTGGTCTTCAACAGGTCTTGAATCTAGGATAATATCAAAGGTAGAATCCTAGAGTTCGAAGGGGCCATCAAGGCAACCACCTTCTCCTTGAAGGGATCCAAACTGAAGCATCCCAAAGAAATAGAATCATAGATTTGTCCTTGAGGAATGATCTTTGGGGGGTAGAGGGGGACTCAACAGCTACCTGCACTAAGGCTTAGAAAGAAAGCAGAAGGTTAGCATTTATTCTTGACCAGGATAAACAATAGCAGCAGAGTTATTTCAGGCTGTATTGTTTGACGTGTTTCCTGCGGCAAAATATCTTTGGCATGGCCTTTCAATGAACCAGTGAAACAGGAAGCCCCAGCATCCTTCTTTCAAATGCTCCAATGAGTGGGGTTTTTTTTTTTTCTTCTGAAACAAATACGACCTCAGGGCATTTGGGCCAACTAAATTCTGATAAAAAATGGCAGTATAAGTGCAGTCTAAATTAATTATCTGTCCACTGATTAAGAGCATCAAAGGGCTGCTCTTTTGATTCAAAACAGAACCACCTCCCAAGGCTTGGCAAATGAACATTGCACTTATCATAAAACAGCTCAGAGCAACAGAGCAACTATGAAATTATCAGATGGAAAATAAAGATAACAATAAGGCAGAGAAAAAAAGTGAGGGGGGAGAGAATTTGGCCAATGAGGAATTTCAGGGGGAATGTTGTGTTGCAAAGGGATTAACTGAACCAAAATAGGAAGCTGATATCAAAAGAAAAAGGGCATATGTTGGAATGAAGGAATCAACTATTTGAAAGTTGTTCTATATTTCTTTCAATTTCCTCACTCTATAAAAATTAGAAAATGGAACTTTAAAGTAAAATCTATTCTAACACTACTAGTTTTGTATGTACAGGAAGAGCCGTCTCTCCTTCCCTGTCTTCTCTTTCTCTGTCCAGAAGAATTTATTTAGGCACTTAATATTCCATTGATATTCTGAAATAGTAA